CAAACCATTTCAAACTAAATACAAGTTTATGACTCCGTAAAACGTGATCAAAGCATCCTTATTCTTTGCTTTGTAAGTGATTCTTAAACTTGATTTTGGTGCAAATTAGTCCCTTTATATGCAAGGATCAAAATACTGAGCTATACTTCTGACCAAAGTAACCAAAAAAAAAAAAAAAAAACTGTTTATTTTTTATATAATTTTTTATGTGTGTGTGCACCTGTATTGCGTACCTGTTCTTCACTATTTTGACCAAGAAATATATCAATGGCTTTTGAGAACTTTTTATTGACAGCAGCCTTGTCCACTCTATGGTCGGCCGTCAAAATGGAGATAATTTCTACTTTCTTGTACATAACAGCGATATGCAAAGGAGTGTTTCCGTCTTCATCAGCTTCATTAATAAGTCCCGTAAGTTTAGGCGTCCTTAATATGTACTTAACCACCTTGCCTTGTCCACCTAAAATTGCAGAATGAAGAACCGTTTGGCCTTTTGAATTAAGCAAATCGCAAGTATCAGGTTGATATCGAATTAACTCTTCCATCACTTTGGTGTGGCCTGCATAGGCTGCAACATGGAGAGCTGACATTCCTGATAAGTCCAGGATATAAGAAGCAGAACTATCAGATTTCATCAGTAGTTGAGTAGCTTCAACGTTCCCTGTGAATCCTGCGTAGTGCAAGGGAGTCCATCCAATAGCATCAACTTCTTTGATTAGGTCACGGTTTTTGGACACCAGAATCTCGACAACGCCTACCATGTTGATATAGGAAAAACTAAAGAGGTGAGAGGTAGTGAAAATTTCCACCAAAATAAAATCCTCGTAATATAAAATCAACACATTTCACAGGTGATGCCATGTTCACGTACCTTTGTCTTTGAGTTGTTTTTGAGTCACTGCGGCATGCAAAGCTGTCAATCCGTTTGTCCCCTGAAAAGAAGGAGAAACGGCAGACTCGTACGCCTTCAGAATACAATGAACAATGCTTGGAGTGCCTTTTCTAACAGCTAGGAACAAGGGCGACTCATTTGCGTTATTAGTGAAACAACACAATTGAGGATCGGCTTCCATTAACCGAATCACAACTTCATCGTGATTGTATCGAACAGCAAGATGAAACGTTGTGTCGTTATCCGAGTTTTTCACTCGGAGTAACTTGTTTTGAGATTCACCATCAGCTGGTCCGCTCTCCTCGTCACCTCTTTCCATGTGATGAAGCGTTTTCCTTGCGTGTTCAATGAGGAACTCAACTACTTCAACACATCCTACTTTGGCAGCAAGGTGCAGTGGAGTGTCACCCTTCTTGTTGGTGGCCCAAAACAGCTGACCAAATTGATCTGGATCGACATTTTCAAAGAAATCTATTTGCTTGAATTCAGCGGAAATATGAAAAATATTGTTGTCTTTAGGCGTTTTCTGATGGAGAAGATCAATAGATGCACCACCATCTCTAATTATTTGTCTCAAGAAACCAACATCACCTGATGTTGCCGCCTCATACAGAGAAGGATCCATGGCAAGCTAGCTTTGATCTCTCTCTCTCTCTCTCTCTCTCTCTCTCTCTCTCTCAAAGTAGTGGGCAAAGCACCTATTAATTATTACCATATTTAATCTTTTTTAATAAATACACATCGCCCGATGTTGCCGCCTCATATACCAAACGATCCATGACTTTCAACTTTGTACGACGTCCTAATTTTAGGATTTTTTTGATAACTGCAATGAACGTAAATGCAAGAAACAAAATGATAATAATGTAAATACGATTAATTATATTAAAGTGATAAAAATTGGAATTAAACTTGAATTTAAAGACAACTTAAATTAAATTATAAGAAAGTAAGCTTATACAGTTATACTAGGAAAATAAAGAACTTGGATAATTTAAAGTGTTTGAAGATAAATCCTAAGTGCAGGATAAAAAGATAGGTTTGTGTATTGAGTCGGATATCCTTTCCTCTCATGAGAAGAGCTTTCTTTGGCTCACGGGTTTGACCATTAGATAGCCTCAAACTGACTTTTCTTTGAAAATCCTTCCAAAGATATTTAATAAGAATTTCCCCACCAATTGCCCCACCACCACCAATAATTCACAGAGATGCAAATGTCGAGGCAATGTTCGCTGGTGGGAGCAAAAGGTCAAGCTTGGTGATCTCGTGACAACTAGTGGCTAATCCAGCAAATTTTAGTTTGGAAAAGTTGTGCTTCTTGTTTTTATAATTGATTCCCCTTCATTCTATGCTGACCACGCCCCACTTGACCTTTTGCTCCCACCAGCGAACATTGCCTCTACATTTGCATCTCTGTGAATCGTAGCCTCCTAAGAGCATCTCGATCCACAAGGGCTAAGTCTAAGGCAATGGCAAGCAAGGGCTGCCACTATTCACGTGAATAGTGTCAGCCTTTGCATTTGTGGTTCCACCCACAAGGGCTAAGTCTAGGGCAAGTCTAAGGCAAGAAATGAAAAAAATATTATGCAAGAAAATATAAACAATTTAGAAAGTGAATAAAATTGTTATGTATTTATAGGGAAAGCATCTATAATTTTTTGGTATTTTAAAAAAAAAAATTGAAATTTTTTTGGATATTTTTTGAATTTTTTTAAATATTTTTTTGCTCGCTGACGTCAGCGTGATGTCAGCATGACGTCACAAAACTCAGTTTGAAGCCCAGGCAAAACCTGCCCTTGGGCTTGCCCGGGCTGGTGGGACCCACGCCAAACCGGGCTGCAGGCTGCAGCGCTGGAGCTGCTTGGGCTTGCGAGGGGGGCCTTTTGCCCGGTTCTTCTCCTGCGCTGGAGATGCTCTAAGAAGCACGGATACGCTGGTTGAGGTGCGTATCCCGTGTCCAATACGCTGGGGGATACGATATGCTGTGGACACGTACGGATACGCAATGGATACGTATTCGTTAACAACAAAAAGATACGCGTATCTGACATTACAGATACGAGTATCTGATGTTTAGGATACGCGTATCAGAAAACGTCTCCACTTCTTCTTCTTTCAGATCTTCCTTCTTCTTCTATGTAAATAAGAAGCCCAGATCTTCCTTCTTCTTCTTCGTCCAGCGGTGCCCCCACTCATCAATTCTTCTTCTTCATCCTTAGACCATCTCCAACCATGTTGGGGCTAAACTCAAATTTTCACCCTCCAAAATACAACTATTCATGTATTTTTAGGACTCAAAATTTTTTTTCCTCCAACCTTGCAGACTCATAATTTGAGTCCGCAACTTTATTAAATTGTTTAAGAATGATTAACCCCTAAATTTTTTTTCTCGTTAATTTTTCTTGACATTATTTTTGTTTCAACATTCGTGATTTAATTTTCTAAACGTTTTAACCTAAAAAAATTAAAATTCCAAAACATAATAGAATGTCACTTAAAAATAAAAACAAGTACAACACCATACCTATGCCCAGAATAAACGACAATCATAAAAAAGATAAACGATAATTATAAATAAAGTTAAATAAAAATAAGCTGTTGGAATATTATTTTAAAAATTATAATTAAAATTTTATAAAAATAAAAAAAAAACAGCACAGCATGTATTTTAAAATATGACCGTTGGTCAGCTCCAAAATGCCACGTGGGGCCAGCTTGTTGCACAAGCTGCTGGCAGACAGCAAAATGCACATGGGGCCCATTAATTTTTGGTGTTCACTTGGGATTCCAGCCAAGAAAAAATAGAAAAAGCAGATTTCGGATCCACAAAAATTATAGGTCCAGGCAATACTTGGGGTGGAATTCCACCCAAGATTTGAGATTTCTCAAATTTCCACCCATCAAAATACATGGGTTGGAGAAGTTTTTTGGACTCAAAACCTATAATTTGGGTTTCCACCCATTGGGTTGGAGATGGTCTTAAAAAGCCTAGATCTACCTTTTTCTTCTTCATCCAGCGGCGCCCCCACTCATTAGATTCTTCTTCTTCAGTCTTCATTGTCGGCGCCGTCGGGTTCTCTTCTCTATTTTCATTTTGTTTTCTCACGCGTGCTTCTCTGTTCTGATTGCTGGTCTTATCCTTTGGACAAAAGGATTTTATTTTTTTAATACTCACAGTTTCACCCACACCCCACGTGATGGCTGATCTTATCGTTTTAACAAAAGGATTTTGTTTTGTTTGTCTTATTAAAAGTAATGATATTATAACCAAGTGGAAGTATGTTAAAAGTAATAATATTATCATTTTTATGTTATTTAAAATATGTTTTAAATTATATATATTGTTATTTTTATGTTTTTATATATTTTTTAAATTGCCGTATCCATGACGTATCGTATCCTACATTTTGGAAATTTATTGTATACCCGTGTCATGTCGTATCCGTATCCGTGTCATTAGGGCATTTCCAGCAGTCAAACCCTTGCCATGGCAAGGGGGGCTAGGGTTGACACTATTCACCTCAATAGTGTCTGCCCTTGCCAATAGTAAGTTGCACTTCCAGCAGTTGCCTGGGCAAAGGGCAAGTACTATTCAATTTTTTATTTTTTTCACAAATTTGTTTACCTAAACAATTAATTTGAACAATATTTTCGAATAAAATATTCGGATAAGATTTTCAGTTTCAAATTTCAGATAAATTTTTATTTCAAATTTCGGATAAATTTCAAAATATAAATTTCATATAAATTTCAGATACTTTTCATTTCAATTTCAACTTTTCATTTCAATTTCGAATTTCATCTAAATTTCAAATTTCGGATAAGATTTTCAACCTATAAAATTACGCCACGTGTCATATGAATTTCAAATTTCAGATAAATTTCATTTGAATTTTACATTTCCGAAAAATTTCATTTGAATTTCAAATTTCGGATAAGATTTTCACCCTATAAAATTGCGCCACGTGTCATGTTTATCGACCTAAATTTTTCTATAAAACTAAGGCTCAGCTCCACAAACCTCTCACACTACATCTTCTCAAAAATTTCATTTCTCAGATTTTAGATTTCAGATTTCAGATTCCATATTCCATTCTCAATGTCAGACATGGAGGAGGTCTTGGAGAGGCAAGAGCGAGAAATAAGAGAAAGAAGGCGTAGACGAGCTGCAAGCAAAAGAGCCCAGAGAGATCTAGATCAGCAACTTGTCATGGCTGTGGCTTTGCTTGATGAAGAAAACCAGAGCAGTCGTGGTTCACATGAAGGCCGTGCAGCAAATGTTGACAGACATAGGCATTCTCGGGGTAAGAATCTTATGGAAGATTATTTTATCCCAACATCTCTGTACTCTGATGTTCATTTTCGAGGGCGATATAGAATGCAACAACATTTGTTCAATAAAGTCATGCATGATATTTGCAATTATGATGAATACTTTGTGCAAAAGAGAAATTGTGCTGGTGTTTTGGGACTGCTTCCCGAACAAAAGTTAACAGCTGCTATACGAATGTTGGCGTATGGTGCATCTGCTGATCAGGTGGATGAGATTGCTCGGATGGGTAAGTCCACTGCTTTGGAGAGTTTGGTTAGATTTTGCGATGCAGTCGAAAATCTGTACACCAGGGACTACCTGCGCAGACCTACGCCCAGGGACTTGCAACGAATTCTACAGAAAGCCGAACGGAGAGGATTTCCAGGAATGATTGGTAGCATCGACTGCATGCACTGGCAATGGAAGAATTGCCCAACCGCTTGGCAGGGAGATTACGGAAATCGGAAAGGCCAAAAAAGTATCATCCTTGAAGCTGTTGCAGGATTCGATACATGGGTTTGGCACGCCTTCTTCGGAGTTGCTGGATCACAAAATGACTTGAACGTCCTAGGTCAATCCCCGGTGTTCAACGATGTTTTGAGAGGAGAAGCCCCCAAAGTCACATATGAAATCAATAATACCGTCTACCAAAATGGGTATTATCTAGCTGACGGCATCTACCCGAGATGGACAACATTTGTGAAATCAATTCCGCATCCCCGAACCCAGAAGCAAAAAAATTTTGCTACCCATCAAGAGAGTTACAGAAAAGATGTGGAGATGTGCTTTGGTATCCTCCAAGCTCGGTGGGCGATCATTAGAGGTGCGGCACGTATGTTTGATGAGGAGGTGTTGAGGAGCATAATGATGACATGCATCATCCTCCATAACATGATTGTGGAGGATGAGTATGATTACGAAGTTGAAGAGGTGTACGAAGAGGATCCCATGAACACGGCCTTGACAAGAATTTATGAAAAACCCATAGGGCCAAATGGAGAACCATTGGAGCATGAACCATTGGTTAGAGATGGTCGTTTCATGCACCATATGATTGATCGATATACGGAGATGCAATCGTCGTATATTCATGAACGCCGTCAAGTTGACTTAATGGAGCATTTATGGGCGGTGAAAGGCAATGACGGTGAATGATATGAAGTGAAGACAAGAATTTTTTAAGATTTTAATGTTTATGTTTTATGTTTAGTTATGTTTGGTTTTTTTATGCTTTGGTTGTGGTTCGTTTGTTTTTATATTTTTAATGCTTTGGTTGTGGTTAGTTTTTAAGTATGGAATGTTTTGAATAAAAAGGAATTTTATTTAATAGTTTCTTTGGTAACTCAAAGAAAACCAATACTACTAATAAAATAAAATACATGAATTACAAGCAAAAATTAAAACAAAACATTAAAATACAATGAAATGAAAAGTCAAGCAAACTAACTTAAGGGTTTTCATCATTGAACCAATTCGTATTGCTAGGTGCATCATCCGTATTGCTAGGTCCATCATCACGAAAAAGTCTTCGTCTCATAATAGCCTTTCGTTCAAGCTTCCAAAATTGTTTTGTTTCAGGAGACATATGGCTTGTATCCATGGCCATGGTTTCCCGATCCTTCTTGTCTTCGTTTTCTTTGCGTTGATACTCCCTTTCTTTGCGTACATACTCCCTTTCTTTAGCATATTCTATTCGCATTGCCCTTTCATCTTCTTGGGCTTTCATGTCTAATTCAAGTCTCATGGCGTTTTGCCTTGCAATTTCCTCCAAAATTTTAGAGGCATTACTGGTAGACTTATTTCCTCTCTTTGCCTTCGCAGCCTTCCTCCCAATAGGTCTTGGCTCCTTTTCAATGGGTGAGTCTTCACTCATAGGGGATTCCATAGGCGAATCCGAAGCTTGTGAATCATGGAGTGGCGTCTCATTTAACACCACCGTTCGAGCCGTTGGAATAATGCTAAATCTCTTACAATGCTTCACCACCTCCCAACATTGGGTATGGTTGAAAGTTTTTTTCCCTTGTCCAGTAGCACCAAACCACATTTGAGCTTGCACAATCTATATAAAAAAAATTGAATATGCAAAGAACTTAAACAAAATATTGGTAATGCAAAAAAGATAAACATATGAATGAAAATCCAAGAAATATTAACAAAATATAGAGAATGCAACAACCATTTAAATAAAGATTAGAAATACAATAAATATTAATAAAATATAAAAATTGCAAGAAACATTTAAATAAATATGGAAATACAAAAAATATTAACAAAATATACAAATTGCATGAAACATTTAAATTAAAATTAATAGGACATTAAAATTAATATAATGAAAATTACAAATAATTTACCTCATCGCTTAGATTTTCCCCGCTTCTTTGGTTTTTCATCGCTTTAGTGAGGGTATCTCTCCATTTCCCCAACTCTTTGTTGAGAATTTTCCACCGACTAGACAATGCCATTTCTGTACGGGTGGAACCCGATCTTTCAACAAATTCACAATGAATTTTTTTCTACATTTGACTGAATTTCATCTCATTACCCGATATGGGATCATGACTACTTTGGATCGAACACTCACACAACATGACATCTTCCATGATGCTCCATGCCCCTCCGGTTTCTTGAGAACAAGCCATAATATGATAGAGAAAAATTAAACTTGACTGTGAAAAAAAATATGGAGTAGAAAATGAAAAAAATATGGAGTAGAAAGTGAATAATAGTTGGAGGAGGAGAAAATGTATGAGGATTTGTTGTTAAAAATGAAGAGGATTGATTGGTATTTATAGAAAAAAATTCAGTAATTTTTGGGAATTTTTTTAAATTTTTTCTGAATTTTTTTTCATAATTGTTGGCCTTGAAAATTTCCTGGGCGTTGGATTGGATGACAAAAGCAATCGGAGCGACCAGAAGCTGCCACGTGGCGTATGACTGTTGGGGAAAAGCTGACGCACGCGCAGCAGTAGTTGCTCGGGCTGGATTTTATTGCTGGAAATCCCCCCCCCCCCAGCCCTTGCCCTAGGGGGCTGCTGGAACTGCCCTTAATCTTCCTATGGTGGAAGCAGAAGCTATTCGTGATGCACTAACACATGCCCAAATTGCAAATTTAAACAAAGTTATTGTGGAGTCTAATTCGCAGCTGCTCATTCGGATGCTTCAAGGAGTAACCCCTGTTGATGCTAGGATTGAAGGAATTATTTTTGATATAAAAAATCTGGCTCAACAATTTCAGTCGGTGATGTATTCCTCTATCTCTAGACTGTGTAATCAAGCTGTTCACCTAGTTGCAGCCTTTGTGAGTCGAACAGGGGTACCCATTTGTGGGACTATTTATGGCCATAGTGGCTTTTCAATACTCTGGCTAGGGGTGGGCATTTAAACCGAGAAATCGGAAAACCAAGCCGAACTGGACCGAAAAAAATCAGAAAAAATCGAGTTGACCAAAAATCGGACCGAATCGGTTTAATCCGGTCCAATTTCGGTTCTTATGTTGAAAAAACCAGACCAGTCCGAACTGGACCGGTCATATTAAATATATATTTTACTTACACATGGCGTTCTATTATTTGTGTTTGTATTAAAACATTGTAATTAAAAAGCAAGTTGGGTGTGCATTCACGATGTTGATGTGTGGGAGCATTTTTGCTCACCACTTTAACCATAGGTGTATCCTCACCACCATCCTCAATGCTTGACACGTGTCCATAGGTGTAATCATGATTCCATAAATACAAAACAAAAGTTAACTATGGTTACGTCTATGGACACGTGTCAAGCATTGAGGATGGTGGTGAAGGTACACCTATGATTAAAGTGGTGAGCAAAAATGCACCCGTTGATGTCTTGGGCAGAGAAAATAGAACGACTCTTTTCTATTATTTTTTTATGAAACCTTTCTTATTTTTTGTTTGAGGTCCACACCTATTCTCTCACTTTCTCTGATCCCATGCCTATTTATACTAAAATATTGTATATTTTTATTTTTATTTTTTTTGAAGAGCCTCGCATACAAGGAGAGAATACTCATAATAACAAAGCAGAAGGACGAGGGGGGCGAAAAGCCTGACCTCGAGTACAACTATCGACATCAAGGGCGTCCTGAATAAAATCAGGGGGCACCTCGACCCACTCACATGGGTGCGAACAGTTAACAGCAAATTTAGCTAAACAATGAGCTACACCATTGGCCTCACGGCGAACAAAACTAAAGCAATCCCTCCGGTGATCCCGCAAGCTAGATTGTCTTTCATACTTTTTGACGTCTCTTGTTTATGCCTCTCATTTCTCTGATTTCTTCTCTCTCTCTCATTCTTTCTTTCCTCTCTTCTTGCTCACCGGTTCTTTCTTCCTCTCTTTCTCCGATTTCTTTCTTTTCTCTACCCTCATGTCATTTATTCTTTCTTTCCTCTCTTCTTTCTCACTGATTATTTCTTCATCTCCTTCTCTTATTATTATTATTTTTATTTCTCACCAGGTCTTTATTTCTTCTTCTCTTCTTCTCCTCTTTGTCCGATTTCTCTTTTGGTTTCTTACTCTCCTTTGGTGCATCATTGCTGGATAGTTTTTTTTTTTTTTTTTTTGTATCTTTTAAGGTTTAGATATGGTTTTTCTTGTATGGATTCGGCGATTTGCTCCATTGCTTTGTGTAAAAATATCAGTTAGGCTAAGAGCTGGTCCAAAGCGTGAAAAATCGGAACCGAACCGAACTTAAATTGGCCCGAGTTGGTCCGATTTTCTTTGGCATTTTAGTTAAAACCCGAACCGGACCGCACTGGATGAACATTATTGATTCCGATTTCGGTTTTGTCTGAGAACTGGGCCGAACCGGACCGTGCCCAGCCCCAACTTTGGCAAAAGATGTAAAACTTTCAATCCGCCTCTAATAAAATCTTCCTATCGTTTGGCAAAAAAAAAAAAAAAAAAAAGGCCCCCCCTCCTTCTCTTATCCAACTATTGTTCAAAGAGGAATGCTATTCACCTCGTGGTATTTACCTGAAAATTGGAAAGAGAGAGAGGAGAGAGAGAAGGAAAGGAAAGATAAAAGAAATAAAAGAGATAACATTGGTACAATCACCTCTATACTATTTTAATGCCCAACTTGGAAACCATGAGTAGAGAGACAAGTGTATAGCGAGTTCCATGAGCTGTGAATAGCATTCCTCATTGTTCAAATACTCAAATAGACTAACTCACTAAGAAGAACACCTCGTCAACTATATATAATTAAAATTAGCACTCACACTGTAATAACCCGATCCTAAATTAATATTTAATTATTAGAATATTCAAGTAAAAGACAATTTTATCTCGGGAATATTTTAATGGTTTTAAAGTTGACTTTTTGTTCGGGAAAAAACTTGGGGAAATGAATGGCACCATGACGTAGATTGCGTCGAGATAAGTCTATAGACACATAGTGGGCTCAAATCGGTGTTTTAACGAAGAAGTTATGATCTACGGAAGCCCAGTGGCATAACTGTAATTTTTGGGGGTAATCGTATAGTTGTTTGAGATCATTAATTGTTTGGTTTATGTATTGTTCGACTTAAGAGCATTGCTAGTTCTGTTTCGAATTAATTGAAGGCTGGAGGCCTATTATGCAATTGCATGTTGTTAACTTGTGCATGTTGCCAGTTGATATTTTTAAAATGTGCTTTTAACATGTTGAAAGATTTGGGGAAAAGTCAAATTTTCAAGGGAGACTTGGTTCATCGTGAGTTGGACATGTTGAAAGATCGGTGTGATGTCGGAATTTCCACAGGATTCGTCTCGAGTTCCGAGGAATTCGGGGCGGGTCTTGTCAGTAGTAAGGGACAAAAGGAATGGGAATCAGATCAACTACTCCCCCTAGTTGATCTGATTCTTGTTTTTTGGGGATGTGATTACGGAGTCAGATGTGGGCCCACACATTTTTTCATTCCTGATTGCAAGTAAACGTTGGGGAAGTCAAGAATGGAAATCATTCCCTTTCTTTCTATACCCATTACTAATATGTAAACATGTCCTAAATAAGTTTCAATTTCTGTTTAAATCTAGATCTTGTATCAGAACCTTAATTTTATAACACATGTATACTCCAAATCGCGGTAGCCACGAGAATAGACCAAGTAATTAAATAGGTGAGCAATATGCCACCTCCACACTAGAAAATTTTGATAGAATACTAGTTTTTCCAAAAATTCCCTCTACTTAGCGTGCTAGACAAGAATATCCCTTGAAACATTCTAAATTATCACTTGGCCGGAATGCTGGCCACGAGTATAAATTTTGGTACAAACCAAATGGAATTCAACTTCTTTTTTTCTTCCAAAGGTGAGCAAGTTTTCGGCTTGTCATGCACTTGAGGAACCCTTCCTAATTTTATTCCTAATGTATTATGCGAGGAGATTCTCCAATAAGTATTTAAGTTAAAGATTGGTTACATATTTCTAATTTCGGCCGTAGAATTATATTCATTAGATGTGTTGATAGATTTAATATGCAACATGTATGTAATCCAATGTACGGTCGAGATTAAAAATATGTAATTAATCTTTAACATAAAATACTTATTGGAGAATCTTCAATTATGTGATTATTAATAAAATCTCGTTCATTTTTAAATTTTGAAATTTTAAAAATAGTGTAGGGGTATAATGGGTAAAAACATGAGTCATGATGCGTTGTTTCTGGAGTAATCATAAAAACCGAAGAGTCTCATTAGATAGAAACTTTAGAAGGGTGATGGCAAAGCTGCCGGAGGAGTCATTGAAAGGCACTTACGTTCGTTGGGCCAACAGTACAAAAACAGAGTTATTTATGCTTTACTTTTATAAGCATCATGCTCACCTCTATTCATATGTAATGTGATGGAAGTTAAAGAAGCGAGAAAGTAAATATAATAAAGGTTTGGTGTGTATAGTTACCATGCTACATATAGGGTATATTGGTTGTGATACTTTCTATATGAGTCTTTTGTCACATAATTAACAAGTCTCATACACGTGAGATTCATGTAAAACTCACCTATATATACAATTAAATTTCATAAGAGATATCGTTGACACTGTAATTATGAATTTATATTATGCGGGAGCGGAGCCATCTGCGCATCTTCCTTTCGCGACTACTTTGTTGGTTGACAACCCTAAAACTAAAAAGGACAAGTAAGCATAAAATGCCACATATGTAAAGGACCACAGTACCAACCGGACTTTGCATGGGTAGCACTACAAATAATCCGGAAGCAAATGCAACCACCATTGCTCCAAAGGAACACTTAATGAGAGTTGCAGGTCTGGCGAGAATGACTCGCGAGTCGGTTCCCGCCATAAAATAATGACACAACACAAGAACAGCCAGAAAAAAGGAGAAGGTGTCAAATAACACAAACACTTGGAAAGACGGCTTTGCGTGTAAAACCGCCAATCCGTCGCTCTGAAATCCTCCGGGCAAGGTGAAAGCAGCAGCAAATGTAACTGTAGCGATAAGCATAGCAATCAGAAGATCAGTATCACATCCTTTCTTGTCTGCTGGTGAATAATCTTGCAGCTCTTCTCTCTTGTTTGCAATGTTTGGTGTGCGTATAGTACCTAGAGATTCCAATTTCATGACATCACTGCGGATTTGTTGCTGGAAAAATGGGACACCACTAGAGCGTCCCAGGTTGAACAAAAGCGGACTATTGAAGGCATCCTAAATAAACATATATACGGAGAATTATGGTCTTGGTCAACAAAAATATAATGCAATAATATGCTAGGAAGACCATATATTTGTAGCATACATACCCGCCCAAAATTATCGCCAAGAAAAATATCGGCAGCCTTCGAGAAATTTTTATTGATGGCAGTCTTATCAACTCTACGATCGGATGCCAAGAGTTCAACAATTTTCAAATGTGGGTAAGCCGCAGCGAGATGCAAAGGAGTGTTGCCATCTTTATCTGCTTCGTTTATAAGCCCATCAAGCTTATTCGTCTGCAATATGAACTCAACAACATTTATTTGTCCACCCAAAACGGCAGCATGCAGAATCGTTTGGCCTTTGGCATTCAGCAAATCACATGCATCGGGCCGATATCGAATCATCACTTCCAAAACTATGGCACGGCCTACATAGGCGGCGACGTGGAGAGCTGACAATAATCCAGATTTGTCCAAGAGGTAAGCAGCAGAGCTATCACATTGCATCAACACTCGAGTTGCTTCAAGGTTTCCTCTAAACGCTGCGTAGTGTAAGGGCGTCCACCCAAGTGCGTCCACTTCTTTGATCATCTGGGGATTTTTGGATAACATTGTGTTCACAATATCTAGCATGTTGATATACAAAAATTAGTAAGGAATTGAGAAGAGTCATATATAAAAATAAATAAAATTGATTACAAATTTATCCCTTCTTTTGTACGCTTCAATATGGTTAAATCTGAAATAAACTCATACGTTTTATTTTATTAAATTACTAAATATCGCTAAAAATCAAATAGCTTTATGGTGGCATGTAAGTTGTAGCTGATCAATGAGGGTATGAACTTGGGCATCATAGGGAGAAGCGAAGATGATGAGAGAATATAGGAATAATGATGGGTGAAAAAAGTATACCATTGTATTTTAAAAAAGTGCTGTTATTTCCACCTATCTGTATTATTTTTTCATGTTAATTGAAAAAAAAGATATTTTTCCACCTACCTATATTCTCACCCCCATTAAGTTTTAATCATCTCTTCCCATCCACTATTATTCCCAAATTACCCCTAATTTATCAATTAAGTAGGGTTGGGAATAGGAAACGGGGCTAACAATAGTGCCACCCATTGAGAATCCATCATCAATAGCAATTTGAGCACCAAATAAAACTGTGTTTGCAGGGTCCATTTTATAACTATATCGATTTTAGCTTTTAACTTTTGTCTTTTCATTTGAAGATAGAGGAAAACATATAGCAGAAGGAGAGAGAGAGAAGGGAGGAAGACGGACGAGGGAGAAAATGTAATGAAATGTTATACAAAATGAAAACTGAAAACCATATAAACTAATCAAAAGCAAATTTCTAACTAGGGTTTTTTTTTTCAAGTTTTGGTTTCATACGTTATCCTTTACTTCTCCATTTCCCCTTGTCATCTCTTCTTTCTCTCTCATTTCTCCTATATAATTATCTTTAACTAAAAAATAAAAGCCAAAAGGTTACCAAAGGGATGGTAATCATCAATCAATCTTATATATATATATATGAAAATTAGGCATATATTAGGGGAAGTCGTGCATGAAGTTACCTTTGGTGCTTTTTGTCCTACGAGTTACTGCTGCATGCAAAGCTGTGACACCGTTAATCCCCTCAAAAGAAGGACATATTGGTGACTCACATAAAATGTAACGAGCAATTCTTTGAAAGCCCTTAGACGTAGCTATGAATAAAGGCGACTCATTGGCACTATTAGTGAAACAACAGAGTGTAGGATCAGCTTCAATTAGCAGCATCACCACTCTATAGTGACCGCATCGAACAGCAACATGCAGTGCTGTGTCCTTTTCTAAATTAGTCATTCGAAGTAACTTTTTGTAAGCTTCACCATCAGCTGGTCCGTTTTCTTCATCAACTCCTTCAATGTGTAGCATTTTGGCATGATTGATGAGGAACTCAACTACTAGAAGACAACCTACTTTGGCAGCAGTGTGCAAGGGAGTGTCACCCTTGATGTTGGTGGCCCAAAACATTGGGGATCCAAGTGAGATGTTTGTGAAGAAATCTACTTGCTTGAATTCAACGGCAACATGTAGAATATTGTTGTCTTTAGGTGTTTTCTGACACTCGAGATCAATCGATAACTCACCGTCTCTAATTCTTCTCAAGAAATCAACATCACCCAATTTTGCTGCCTCATAGACGGAAGGATCCATGGCTTTAAACTCTGTCTCTTTCTCTCTCTCTCTCTGCAGAACATATATATGTGGAATTTCAGAAACAAACAACTAAGTAAATGGTTGACTTTTTAAATTGAACAACTAAGTTAACATTCTCAATAAAATATAGAGCATTGTAAACAACCAATCGCTATATTCATGATGTGTCATTCGGCTTATTTTAAAAGTCCATTATGAACAGTCGCTTGAACAACTATATGCGTCTGGAGTTTTCACTGATGGTTCAGTACACCTACCTAGGCCTCCCCGGTGGTGGGAACGAGAAAGTTTCAATGCTAGCGTATCCAGTAGGACGTTTCCAATGCTCCTTGTGGTACCAGAAATAGATAATAAAAAGAAATTAATAAAGTCAATATTCTGCTAATCAAAGAAAAAACAAAGTTGAGTGGAGAGCAGACCCACCTGATTTAATTCAGGATCAGCTCCAAGATTGTAATGTTTCCAAGTTTTGCAATGAATTTCGTTTTCTCTCCAAAAAAGGTTGGGCCCACTTTGGTATCCCATTTTCCCATCCACTTCCTTCAGGCTAGTAAAAAATCTTGAATCTTTTTCTTTTCCTTATGCTTGCATCACGAAGCATATCAATATTTTATTATATTGATTTTTGCTCTAGGGCCCCCAGGTGTATGTGCAACTTTATTATAGAGGGGAAAAATGTGCCAGGTTTTATCTTCATTGTGAATTGCTGATAACATTTTCAATTGTACTTTGTCATTTTTATAATTGTACTTTATAATTTTTATAATTTTCTAATATTAAAAGATAAATACCATTCATAAAATAAGTATAAAACCCTATGATAAACCTAGACTCGGTTACGCGCGGTCAAATTTTACGGTCTTGCAGGCAGATATTTGCTTCCCTCTTCATTCTTGCTAAATGTGGATTATAGTTCCATGACGAAAACATAAAAGCATAAAACAACATAGAAAATAACAACCAGAGCATATTCTCAGTAGGACTCCCCCTGCCTTTATTATCCTGTACTGCCAAGAAGCCTGGAAAAAATGCAAAGACAAGTCCTCCAACAGAACACCGAAGGACAAGTGCAACCGTTTGGATTGCTAAGAAACTTTCCTGTAGTAATTCATTGTAAATCACAAAGGCTGATAGAAAGAAGGAGACAATGTTGGAACACATAAACACTTTAAAATATGCACTTCCGTCTAAAACCGCTTTCCCGTCACTTTTAACTCCTCCAGGAATGGTGAAACCTGCCGTGAACGTTACAGTTGCGATAAGTGTTGCTACCAGCAGTGTGGTATCGCGTCGTTCCATCTCACAATCCGAATAGAGTTGAGGCGTCTCTCTTGTGTTTGTGATTTTGGCCGATGTAGCGGATGTATTGTTCACCGGAGCTTCTGGTTTCTTGAAATCACGCCTGATTTGTTGTTGGAAAAATGGCACACTGACAGAGTACCCCAGGCGATTCCGCAAATTTAAAGTAGAAGTATCAAACAGCCGCTAAAACATAGAGAAATTGTGTAACCTTCTTCACTTAGATGGCGATCCTTAAATATGACAACATTTGTAGCCTACTGCCTGTCAATTTTCTCCTTCCAGCACAAAAAAATCATCTTCATAGTTATTGACGAACCAAATCACATTTTAGTCATTATTAATTTAGCATCGATGACAGAGGACAAAGTGTCCTAGGTGCAAAATATATTTTTTGTCTTCTCTTCGAAAGTTGAGGGAAAGTTTCAAACCCACCTACACAAAAAACATAATAATATAATATGCTCGTCTCAGTCGTCTCCTAGTATATATACATCCGCCCTGTCAAACCCTCGTACACTACAAACATAATTTAATGATGTGGACTTATTTTATGGTAAAAATACCATGGCATTTGTCTATTGGCTAGTTAGAGGAACTCCAGTTTGACTCACCCACCTGATGCAGTCTAACTTGGTTTCTGCACCCCACAAGAATTGACAAGAAGAAGGATAGGGCATCAAATAACAAGAACACTTGGAATGATGGCTCGCCATATAAAACTGCCGTGCCGTTGCTTTTAAGTCCTTCCAACATGGTGAAAGTTACTGCAAATGTGACAGTTGCAACAAGCATTACTACTACTAGATTGGTATCTAATACTTTTGAGGCCGCCGCCTATGAAGAGGTAGCTTCCAACTTTTTTCTATTGTCCGTAAGAGCATCTCCAGCCTTGGCACAAGACTGGGCAAAAGGCCCCCCAAGGCAGCCCAAAGATGCTCCAG